TAATGTGGAATAAGTATGAAAAACCAGGCTTAGTATGATCTATGCATAAACAATGGAAACTTGATTATATATTTTCTATAACAAAGTATGTAAGTCTGAAAAGAAAAGAAAATGGCATAGTTTCATTCAACATTCATTTAGCTTAAACCACAGTTTTTATTTACTTGTCTATAGGTATTAAAATCATTGTAGTTATTACTTTTTATATTTTTATTTTATTTATTGCATTTTATTTCCTAAAATCAATTGTATCTTTTGAAAAATCTAGCCAAAATTCATACCAGTTTTCTAATATAGTCATAGTTTACCAATGGCTAGACTTTAGTTAGCATTGACAAAGGGAAATGAAAAACACTGAGTCTATTTATCTCTTGGGATAACTTAAAAACTCTAGTTCTGATTAGATCCAACAGATGGCAGTGATGTTATAAATTAATAAAGATTATTCTAATAATATGTAGCATCTGCCCCCAGTAGAATGTGAACCAAGAATAATTCTGTCAGCACTTGCATAAACAATGTAAAACTTTGATATGACTAATTGGATAGAAGAGTACAACATAAATGTAAAAAATTTAACTAAAAAAGATTATTTGCTATTTGAAAAATTAACAACTTTCTCCTTTTCAAATAGTATTATAAATTGAGAATTGTCAAAGAGATTAGCAGAAGACCAAGAAAGGAAAAATAGAAATATAAAATATATTATTGCCACTTGATTTCCATCTACGTCTATTTATTTACATGGGGTTGTTTTAGCCCTCTCACTTTTTATTTATTCACTTAATTTTTTTTTTACTTTTCTTTATCCTTCTACCACTTCAAATAAGTGAATTCTGCTGTTCTGTTCCTCTTTTACTATACCTTCAAATAGCTATATTTATTATTGTTCATTGCTTTTTCATATTTTTACCCACGTTTAGTAACCTTTATTCTTCAGATAATGAAAAAGGAAAAGTGTCAATAGATGACTCCTACAGGCAAGCCTCCACTGTTGCCTGTGTTATCCAAATTAAGTTAAAAACAAAACAAAATCACAAATGATAGAGGTGATTACTTTCTGTTATGAACATTGGTTAATGTCAAATAGATCTTCCATTTTTTCACTGTCCTTTTATTTTGGCTGAATTTTTGGTGTAAGCCTATTTTCCCCTGAATGACTACTATAGGCTGGGCACTGTTCTAGGTATCAGTAAATTAAATAGACAAAGGTCAATCTCTTCACTGATGCTGGTGGAGGAAAACAGACAATAAATAATAAACATAATTATTACTATGTTATCATATAGTACATTAGACAATAGTAAGTGCTATAAAAAAAGTAATGTACATGTGGATTTTTAACAATATAGTCATGGTAGGCCTCACTGAGAAGGTGACATTTGAACAGAGACTTGAAGGAGGTACGGGAGTGAGCTGCCAGCTATCTGGGGAGGAGCAGTCAATGAAGAGAGAGCAATTAGTACAAAAGACCCACAGCAAAATACTATGGAAGTTGAAAATACTAATATATTTTATAGCCTATTTTACTCTTCATCATGTTACTTGCCAACATTGACTTATTTATAAGTAAAGGCATTTATGTTTGTTAATTATTATTTTTAAGTACAATCTCACTTATCCATAACTCAAAGATGAGGAAATTTCACATATCGAAAACATGTGACAACTATGAGAGAAAATAAAAAGGCCTCTGAAGAGTCAAAATGTGTACTTATAGAAGAGGTTTGAGGCGCTCATTTATGGCCTTTATATAAAATCTGATCCAGCTTGGCTTGGGATCCAAGCTTTTTATTAACCATAGGAAGGTGTTAAAAGGGAACTGTGGCAGGAAGGCTATGTCAATCATTGACAGCAGTGAGAATTAATAACTGACAGCCTACCAATAAGGAGTGGGCAAAACGCGTCAAAGCCCAAAAGGCACTGCCGCTTGGGGGCTCTATTCAAGTGGCCCAGCACTCCCACCTTCCTTAACAGGTCCTGAAACACCACTGTAGAGCATGTGATAACCACTTATTCAAAACTGTAACCACAAATCCCCAAGAGAAAAGTTTAGTGCCAGAATGATCAGTTTCAGAAGGTCAGGAAGGAAGGATTTTAGAAGACTTTGGTTCAAAGTTATTATAAATTTTACAAAGTTTTGTTGATTAAAGAAGTAAATTTTCAAATATCCAGAAAACCTGAGTATCTAGGAAGGCTCAATCACAGAGACTACTAGATAGGCAAGATCTTTTGGCACCAATTACAGTGATGTTCATAATTACTTTTAAGTTGAAAGTCTTTCACAAACGCGTCTGGGCTGGTTCTTCATTATTGCTACTAAAATCGTTCATGTTACTATTTTATCACATAGGAGTATGCTTTCTTACTATAAGAAAGCAAAATGTGAAATTCTCAATTCATATATTTTAAATTAAAAATTATTTCAGATATAGATGATAAAATTCAATTTTTAGATTATAAAAACAATTTTAATTAAAAAAACTGTCAGTTACATAAAGAATCACAACAAAGTATGTTTCTCTTTGCCCAGGTTGACTTTTTTTTTTATTTCAAAAATTTTGATTAGCCCATAATTTTCCAGGCAAAAATCTATTACATAGAGGAAATTACACCAGCATCATGTCATTATAACACACCAGTGATTGTTCAATTTAGAAAATTTTGATTAACTCATAATTTTCCAGGCAAAAATCTATTACCCATTGCCATCGAGTCGATTCCGACTCATAGCAACTCTATACGTAGAGGAAATTACACAATCCTCATATGTTATTATAACACACCAGTGATTATTCAATTGATGAAATTCAACTCCCACTCAAGACGGTGCCCTGAGTTAATGAATTAGAAATCCATTTAAGATAATCAAGGTATGAGTGTAGGAAAATGGGTTACATTTTAACATATTCAAAATTGTATTCACAGTATTTGCAGTGATCAGATACCCAAACAGCTACCAAATGCACATGGAGGACTTTGCTTTAGTTTTTGCTTCTTAATGGCCTCCTTTACTTACTACTTACTTGTAGTGGAAGAGCAACTAGAAAACCCTAACCCCCCAGCCACCTTGGCAGCAAAGCCAGAGAGCCTGTCATAGACCACCTGCCAGGAGAATTGATAAAGTGGACTGATTCTAAAAAGTGATTCAGGGAATGCAGAACTGTTCTGAGATTAATAATTTTTTAAAGATCTGAATGGGAAACATTTTTTATTAAAAATAACCAATCATCCTCGTTACCTATTTTGTTGTGTTTGGCTTTAGTAATTAAGACTCTAGGAGGCCTGTTAGATGGGTCTACAAAATGTGGTTTGTTTGTTTTCATTCCTTTTGATTGACTATAGAGTGTTTTTCAATTCCAGTCTTCAGCATTTGTTATAACTGTGTCAAATGTGACTCCATTTGCCCTCAAAAACATTTATTTTCAATATTTTTTAGTTGAAAAAGTCCAAAGAGGAAATTATACAGACCCCAAAGAACATCCAGAAAACCACTTTCATTTATGGCCCATTTTCCTTATCAAAAAACAAATTGAAAAAATATCAGAATGGATAGTCTAACTGACTTTTCTATGTTAATAAAACTGACCTTTCTGTATTAACAAAACTATAGTCAGATGACAAAAATTGACTAAAATAAATTGAAAGAGAAAATCTGAAAGCAGTCTCTTTTAGAACTATTTACCATTCTAATTTTCTGATTATATATAAAACTGTGATGATATAAACCAGGCAAACTCCTATCAAATCAAGACATCTGTACACTGTGAAAGCCTATTAAAGAAGTCTAGATAATAATATAAACCTAAATACACTGGAGATAGAAGTGATAAGATTTTTGCACTGGCATGCCAATACTAAAAAAATCACTGAATATGCTATTTTCAAATTGCTACTTATTATCACTCAATACTCTAAAAATCTGTGTGCTTTTATACAGATGATGATGACCCTTAATTTAGGAAATTGCTATATCAAAGAGTATAGCTATTAAAGGAGCATAGTTTTGTTTTGATGCTTGTGCATTTTTGCCATTTTATTGAGCATTGTTAGATTTTTAGTCATTCCATTAAGCTTTTCTTATAAAATACTTGCGTGGGAGTAGAGAAAGGGAAAGGTTAAATAGATTATGTATGTGGTGGGAGGATTTATTTCAAGTTAGAAAAGGGTAATTTTAGACACAATGTTACAAAACAGTAATATAAGAAAGTTAACAACTAAAGTACCAAATGAGATACAGGGAGGGCAAATACTAATTTGTGAATGTTGCCTTCAAGAAATTCTGACTGCTTTATAAAACAGTCTTACCTCCTTTAGAGGAAAGAACATAGACTTTGGAGTTCCGTATACCTCAGTTTAATTTCTCGATCAGCTCTTTTAATAAATACATGTACCCAGGAAAACTAGGTAACCTTGCAGAGCCTCAGTTTCCTCATTTGTTAAGTGGATTCTGAGAATTCAATTTTAAAATAATAAATCACATACCACAGTGCTTAGAATACAGAAGGCATTTCTTTCCCCTAAGATTTCTCCATATATTTTCTCATGATATGTTGTTTTTAAATTGTTTTAAATGTTTCCAGATTTATCTAAAATTTATATCCTTTTAAAATGGGGCTTTTAAACATTTCTCTAGATTTATCAAATGTTTAGATACTGTCATCTTTAATGTTTCCAGCATTACCCGTTTTATTTGTACTGGACCTGCACAAGAGATAGCCTATTGCCTGAGTCAAACGGCCTACACATTTTCCCAACCAGCCTGGAAACAATCAAGATTTTGTAATAACTTTGAAAAGAAGCCTATCTTATGACTCTGTTTTCATAAGGGATCCTGAGTAATAACTGAGAATAGACCATCTGAAAGAATACGTAGACTACCTTGAAAGCCAAAATATTAAAATGAAAACATCTTGGGGAAAAAAAAGAAAAAGAAAAATATCTTGGACTGTTAAATATCCCATAACAAATCAGTGCCGAGCGAGCATTTTTGTACTTACTTTGCATTAGCAGGATGGCAAGTTGTCAGATTAGCCAAGGCTAGAGCTGCTGCTTCCCTTACCTCATCATTGTCACTTTTTAGCAACTGAATCAACTGTGGAATCCCTGCGGGAAAACATAGGTAAAATATGACTTTAAAAGCATCAGTGCAAACTAGAATCTGGTAAACTAATTGTTCAAAATATTTTTTAGCAGTTTGCTTACCCTGATTATTGAAAAAATCTTTGCTGCCTGAATTCTCACACATTGCTGAAATAGCTTGGGAAGCAGCAATTTTAGTTCCATCATTTTCAGAACCCAAAAGGGTGACAAGGCATTTTTCAACCTCCAGTTCATGAAAAAGCTTTCTATTTTCAGCTTTCCATAAAACATAAGAAAACAAATTCAGAATTTTGCTGTAAAAAAGGAGCAACAAGCAAGCTACTAATGAGCAAGCATTATTACTTACCCACCCAAAGTATGACAAGAATTCAAACCATTTGCTAACTTTAGTCACAGAGTCTAAACTCAACAAAATACCTATTTAATCTTAAGAACAAAGTGATTGTGGGAAATGAAACATGGATACTGCATTTTTCCCCCACAGATTCCCTTACATGACATCAGCACTGTGGTGATGAAAATCCTATAATAGGAAAGAGGCAAGTTTCAGATTCAGCAAGCACTTATGAGCCCTGGTGGCGAGGTGGTTAACAGCTCGGCGGCTAACCAAAAGGTTGGCAGTTTGAATTCACCAGCCATCCTTAGAAACCATATGGGGCAGTTCTACTCTGTCCTATAGGGTTGGTATGAGTCAGAATCGACTCGACGGCACACAGCAACAGCTTTGGTTTTATGAAACACCAGTCATGTGCCTAGCATGGTGCTCAGTAGGTACACGTGATACCTTCTCACTAACTAAAGAAACAAATCTGTTTATTTCGTGGTTATTTTAAATACAAAACCCAACATTTGAAGAATGCTCGAGATGTTCAAACTGCTCAGTATGCTGGACGCTCAAGCCTTACAGGAGATGAGCGGAGGAGAGGAGAAAGTTAAAATGAGGACAGTATAAGCCAAGTCTTGAGGAATTTATAATTTTATACCCCCCAAAACCAGTTATTTTTATCTCAAATTACAATGCATGCTAAAGTGGCCTAAATTAATTGTTTTACTTGATAAATTACCATAACAATCTAAAAATAAGCTAGTATAGTGTTCTTTATTTGGAAATGAATAAAGTTATGACCTTAAGTATACACCATAATATTCAGCCCAGAATAAACACTAAATTTGAAACCAAAACCTTTTAATTTTCTTTTTGATCCCTAAAGATTGTTTTTCTCTCTTGATTTAGTTGGATTTTTCATAAACGACTGTCTCATTACTATACAAAACCAAACATTACGGTGAACTAAATGAGAAAATTAGATTCCACAGTCAGTGTTCTCTAGTCAGTTCTAAGAGAACCAGTTACTATTTATTAAAACCATGTACTAGAAAAAATATCTTAAAGCAAACCCAATTTAATGTCTTAAAAAGGTACTAGGGCGAGTTTGAAAAGAAACAGCTTACAAACAATTCCTAGGCAATTTATTTACAATTCCATCAAAAAATTTTGTCATAGGTTTGATTCTTCATTAATCATCCTTTATAAAGTCAATTTATATGATTAAAATAGAAAAATGTGTGATATGTGCTCTTAGGATGTTAATATATGAGAATAATATTAGAATAAAAATCTCTGAAAAAATGCTGATAATTTAGATTACAATGCCTCCATGTGGAACTCATTCGTTACACATATTTAAATTAGCTTGGTTTTTTTCCCAGAAATATTTTCAGAAATTAACAGCAACTAATTTTACATTTTAAAGTTAATGTATGTTGTCTCCTTTCCTTTAACACTGATTCAAAATATCACCCTCTTTCACGGAAGCAGTATCACCTTCAAATGTCACCATATTTGCAAATACTTTTTGCCTTTGTTCACATGCTATGCTGATGTATGCTGAGCAATCTGGCTATAACCAGCCCAGGCTAAATTACTAACACTTCTGTTCCTTCGTTTTAAACCAATCACGAACCATGTCCTGTAATCCTATCATTTTAATCCCTTGCTCCTTTCATTTAAAATTAGAATTCAGGCGGGCTGTACTCTGTGTGTGTGTGTTTTTAAAAAAGAAGCCGCAGTTAATATTTAAACCTCAACTATATAGCTCCTACAGTGTTTTAAAATATATGTAGTCATTATTTTTAACTGAATAAATAATATCTGAAACTTTTCTAGAGTATCTCACCTAAAATGCTTTGATTTATAATGAAAACTTACCTAATGTCTCTAAATCAACCTTCCTAAACAGAAGGCACTTAACATGGTTTCTATTGGGAAAATCGGTCAAAAGAATTAATTCGAAAGACTAACTTTAGAGTATGTAATTATTACATTCAGAAAAAAGAATATATACAATTATTAGAAAGATTTTTAAAAAATAATTTAAATAAATGCTGTGGGCAATTAGTTTCTCAACCCTGCTGGGAATGTTCTCAAAATCCAGTTGTGTTCATAAAACCTCAAAAGTGCTGACTGCAGTGTGGCTATAATAGATTTAAAAGACGAATTAACATATTAACCAAGTACCTTTATTGAATTGCTATACTGAGAAGTAAAGTATCTATGTTTTAATCACACAAATAATAAAGATGGCAAGCTAGTAATGCTACTAATAGAGTAAGATCTTTTAAAAATGACATTTGTTCAGTATCACTAAAAAAAAATCAAGAGATTTTGTTAACTGAAAATAAATCTGTATGTAATGATGCTTTTCTTCACCCATTCTTGAAAGTTACTATCGTGCCATCCTCCTGCTGGGATGTTAATGCCAGTTCGTAAACTTAAGGCAGTGTGGCAATTAACACCTTCCTGCTACTGATGCCAGGTCAAAGCCATACTGATTTGGGCTTTCCGCAGTGGGGGTGCACGCTGGAATCAACAAAACAAAATTCAGTTTAAGAATGTGAGTTATAAACCACACAACAATTTAGCTCATTTAACAATGTTCGCCTTGAGCATTGTGCTCTCTTAAAGAAATTTAAGGGGCAGAGAGGCTAAGTTAATGGTAGTGAAACACTATGGACAAGGATAGGGAGAATGGTGACACAATGTGAAATATGTAACCACTGTCAATGAAGTGCACCTGTGAAAATTGTTGAGTATGTTTTGCTGTGTATATTTTCAACAAAAATTAAAAAAGTATGTATATTATGCGTTTGTGTGTGTCAACTGTGTTTTTGAAACTGAAAATGCATTCCCTAGCCTTGAAAATTAAAAGAAAAAAAGATTTGATGGTGGTGAGAAGTAAAAAGAAAAAATTTAAATTGATACTGACGCCTGTTACCCATTTTCATCAAGTCGATTCTGACTCATAGCAACCCTATACCAAAAAAACCAAACCCGTTGCCGTCGAGTTGATTCCAACTCGTAGGGACCCTATGGGACAGAGTAAAACTGCCCCATAGGGTTTCCAAGGAGCTACTGGTGGATTCGAACTGCCAACCTTTTGGTTAGCAACTGAGATCTTAACTACTGCACCACCAGGACTCCAATACTAATAGTTACATTATTCTTAATAACAATATAAAATCAAAAAACCAAACCCACTGCCATTGAGTTAATTCAGGCTCATAGCAAACCCATAGGGTTTCCAAGGCTGTAAATCTCTACAGTAGCAGACTGCCACATCTTTTCCCACAGAGCCACTGGTGGCTTTGAACCACCCACCTGTCGGTTAGCAGTTGATTGCTTTAACCACTGCACCACCAAGGCTCATTAATGACAGTATAAGGAGTGACATTTGTCAAAACCTACCTAAGAATGGATTTTTTTAACTGTGGAAAATTATTTTAAAACATCTTCATGATTATTTACTTTCAATACAGAAATATTAGGAGATATCAACTTTGTTAATCTTGTTATGCTTTTAGAATTTATCCTTGTAACTAATATAAAACAAGACTTACGTTTAGTTAATCTGGCTGGGTCTGGCAGATAGAGTTAAGGCAGGCGACAGGTTCATATAAAAAGGAGCAGATAAAAATATAGGTAGGAGCTGAAACGAAGGCAGAGTATAGAATCCAGCTAGGGAGGAAAAGGTGACTATTGTGAATTTGGCCAGGTAAACAGAGTTAAGAGGTAACTAAATTAACAAAAATAGAAGATAATGATTAGATAAACAAGAAAGATGCTACCCTATCCTCTAGCACTGGCCCTAGGGAACAGGGTACTGGTTCTGTCCTAACATTGGGTCCCAGTCAGAGATGGGCAGCTCCGGTCAACAAGTGTTATGGCCAAGGCAATTCAGAGTCCTGTAGGAAATTCTGCTTCTGGATAAGTTTGGAATAGAGAGATTTTCTCTAAGGTCTCACCTCAATCAAGGTATACTCTTGAAGATTTATTTGTACAGTCACCAAAGGTCAAACAATTTAGGAAGGAAGGAGACCATGCCAGAATGGATAGAGGAAGGTTTCCAGCTGAGAAAACTGGATTATAAATTATAAGCTTTTACAGTACTAGATGAAACCTGCAAGACAATGGCGAAGGAGATGTACTGATTGCAATGCAGATAGGCAGTTAGTCTAGTGATGTTAGGGTAGGTGTAAATTTCATCCCATCTGGAAAATGGGGGTTCTGCTGAGCAATGGAAGTTATCTTTATGCTGTTCTTGCTTGGTCTTCCAAAGTAGCGGGGTCAGATTACTGTAATTTATGCACAGGTTGTTGCTTTAATCTACCATGGTAGAGATAGATGGTTATATGGTATGAGGAAAAGTGTGAGGAAATTGATAGCTTATTTAAGGCAGAGTGGGCTACACTAGGTTAAAGCATGAGAAATGACATTTAAAAAAATTTTTTTAAGGGCAGGAAGAGAAATCCGTTATCTTATTCACACCTCAAAAAGCAATGGAGTTGGTGAGGATGTGGAAAAATAGGAACCCTCAGACAATGCTGGTTGGAATGTAAAATGCTTCAGCTACTGTGAAAACACTTCAGAGGTTCCTCAAAAAAGTTAAACACAGAATTAATCATATGATTCTGCAAATCCAATCCTGGGTATATACTCCAGAGAATTCAAAACAGGAACACAAACAGATACATGTACACCAGTGTTCATTGCAGCACTATTCACAATATCCAAAATGTGGAAACAGCCCAAATGTCCATCAACAGCTGAATGGATAAACAATTTGCGGTATACATATACAATGGAATATCATTCATCAATAAAAAGGAATGAAGAACTGATACATGTTACAACATAAATGAACTTTGAAAACATTATACTTAGTGAAAACAGCCAGGTACAAAAGGTCACATATTCT